TTCCCTACAAAAGTTACAAAATATAACTTACATTTCTTCAGACGCGAGCTGATTTTTTTAAATAATGATATACATTTAGACGTTAATGTTACATATACATATGAGAAAAAGATAGAAAGATATGAATATAAAATCACTGATTAGTTACAAAGATATAGAACAAATATTTATTTTGTTTATTTACTAGACTAATTCATGCATCGCAATGTAACTCTACGTGAACCATCTTGAATACATAATGTATTTATATTAAAAAATTGAAATTTTTATCGTTTATTTTATATACATTTCCATATATTTTAATTAGAACACAGATAGAAAAAATACTACACGGAGAGAATTTTTTCTTAGAATTTATTCCGAAAATATGACAATTGTGGAACAACATTGTATTTCGAAGAATTTTAATGTAAATCTCTCTTATTCATTAATAAAACTACAATGAAGTATAAAATAAGTTTGATCAATTTTACTGAAATGCATGATAAAAATCTTTAAAATATTATATCGTACCATTACTACCATATTTTCAGGGTAAATTTTAAAAGAAAATTCTCTCCGTGTATACTATTTATTAAAATAATTTATGATCCAGATAGTAAACCGTCACCAAATTTGTCGTGTTATTTTCAAATGTGATTTATAATAATCTGTAACTTTTTTCATAATTTTATTATCATTTTGAAAATATGTATAAAACATCCTTAAGCGGCATAACCGCGAAACAAAGCTGCAAAAAAGCACGAGTGTCAATAATGCGAATTTCGTACGCACTTCACGTTTTATCGTTTGTAATACTTCTCATTTGTCTGTAATCTTTCTCATTGATACTTTTATCGAGTGATATTTGGGTTTAAAATCATTCTTAAAGTTTTTGGGGAATGTAAAAGAAAAAATATATGAGAGAAAAAATGCTAGTACACAACATGAGTTACAAAGGTAATATTGCATATAAGGTATACTTGCAAAAAGATTTACGAATGAACCCAAACAAAATTAATGATGTATTCCAGAATAAAAAGAATGATGTTCAATAGAGAAAATATAGCAAGAAATGCTTTTATAATTTCATCGATTAAAAAAGATAAAGATGCCTTTTCATGCTGACGCTCGATAAAAATTGACGAATAGCAAGCGTCAATTTTAAACACTTGACCTATTTTGACGCTAAAAATGAGCGTCGAGCGTCAGGATGAAAAGGTATCTTTAAAGTTATTAATTTTCTACAAATTTAAGAAAAAATATAAATAAACAATAAAATCAAATCTCTATATTCTTTGATAAGTTCAAGCCGGTACGCATCTTACTTCAACAGTACCTATTTTAATGTTTATCGCTATTCATACATTAGCATTTTTACTAACGAAAATTCTCTCCGAATTGGCTAAAGAATTCGCAAAACTATGCGACAAAAAGCATATGTGACGAGTCTTTGATCTCGAGATTTTTGCATAATGATTGAGAATTTTTCTGAAAAATTCTGAATCATGAAAGAATCATGGACGATTACGCGCGGGAACATGCATATTCAGATGGAAAATTCACGACATTATTTGTGCCGTTTGTCTTTGTACGCATCGCGAGAGAGTATAAGGCCATTTCTTATACTCGTCTATGATTGTGAGAGACATTTTCTTCATCATCACCAAGTCAATTTGTTCACGCGAGGGAGGAGGCTGCGTTCTTCACTTCGAACTAACTCACGCTCTAGTTACGTGACCGGGTCATAGGGTCGGTATCATATGGTGAGGGAGGAGAGGAATGCGGCTAAAGAAATGCGTCTGTCTGACGCCGCCCGCGACGCATAGATATTCGCTATGATGCGACGTAACGCGGTACACTGCAATTGCAGCTATAATCATATACCTAGTACTCGCTGTCGCGACGCAGAAAAGCTAGACGATAATCCGATCGAAACTATTGCTTCAGAGTGAGCGCTATCAGCGCTAATGTGTTATTCTATTTTTATTCGTTAGATGTAAAATAATGCAATAGCACTAATAGTACGCTCCTCAAACGCAGTCTATATAATATACCTATATACATATATCGAAACTGTAAAACAAAAAATATAGGGTAAAGTTGCCGAAATCGCACCTCCTAATCGCAGTTCCTAAATTGCACTATCTCGCTTAAAAATTTAATTATTGTATTTATATACTTTCTTATGCGCTATTTAAGAATTACATGATACTATAACGCTACTTCGTTATACTCATGACATGAAGCGCAATAGGAGTGTTGTCATTTACATAAATAAAAAATTGTGATAGCGTTGCTATTTTTCAACGTATTTCATAGCAGAATTACAGAAAATATAAATTAAATAGTCTAAGTCTTGATCATTTGTCGTGATTAGAATATTATTAAAATTAAATTAATACAGTCAAAATTTGCTTTACATTTTTGTTTATAGGTTAAATAAATAAAAGTTTTAAAAATGTTATAGTTTCCTAAATCGCACCATACTGTAATTTCCTAAATCGCACCACAATCTAACTTTTTAAGAGGTTCCTAATCTTCTAACCTTTTCAGTCAGATGAATTGTAACATTCAGTTAGTTAATACCTCAGTCATACCTTTTAACGAAACTCATTGTATCAAGAAACACAATGATTTCGTTAATTTAAATGTGATGTTGAAAAGGATCAGAACCAAGGATCGAAACGTATGAGAGATTAAATAAAGGAACTATTTCACACCAAGAACCAATGCTTGGCTCACAAAGGCATTAATTTATTGATCGATTCATCTCAAAGGAGTTTTGATTCAACGTAACTTTATTTATAGAGTGCTAACCTGCTAACCTTTTAAATTACACGTTGCTTAATATTTTTACATTTCTTACATTTTTATTCCATTTATTATTATATGAAAATGTATATTGTAAACATATTTTGTTTCATATAGAAACTTAAATTACTCCTTAAATTACTTCTTGAAATTATTATGTGTTTCAAAAATTATAAAAAATATATTCTTAATTTTTTAATAGCATAATAAAATACAATTTTTTCCTTTTCGTGATTTTAAAATTTTTTGCGTTGTAATATTTTAAATGAGAAATATTGGTATGATGCGATTTAGGTAACAAATTTCCTCGTTGCCAAAATCGCACCATACTGAAAAAAATCCTTATTTTCAACGTTATAACAGCGCAAAAAAATTTTGAAAAAATTACATAAGAAAGGGAAAAGAGTGCAGTTTATTATGCTGTAAAAAAACTTAAGAATATTCTTCATAATTTCTGAGTTATGAGCCT